GAAAATGTTTTTCTATGGCACAGCATTTCAAAGTCTGCATTATACGGTGCTTTCATTAGAAGGAAGTATTGATAGATGCATTTACCTCTTAACTTTGTTGGATACTGTATTGGGTACTTTCTAACCAATCTCTAGCATTTCTTTCATAGAGGTTCAGCATGTGGTTATGAGCAAACTTCAAGAGTTCTTCAGTGAAACAGAATACTCCCTGTGGACCAACTCCACTGGTGAACTTAGAACCATCTACTCACATATAGACCGCAGTCTTCTACCAGACATGGGAATGGATATATAGAGAACAGACAGTATTATGTGTGTAATTTGACTCTGGACTCAGTTGTGGTTCTTACCAGGGCTACAGCTTTTTCTTTGGATATAAAAGCAAATGGTTTTCTCTGGGACAAGCAAGGCAGAAAATGGGGGACCCTCACCCTGAAATGTGAGATATGTGCCAGAGTAGACAGAAACTTTTGCCAGAATTTATGCACCAGCTGTGTCCCATTCCTAAGAAGGTTAAAGTTACACTTGAATTGGATCATTGTGATGACCTCTGCATGAGGCTGCTGTTGAAATTTTTCTGTAAATTTCAACTGGTCCAGGAAGCAGCACAAAGTTTCGGTGGATGCTCACTGCAGGTATCACATGACATCCACTCTAACAGTAGCTGTATTTTTGCAGCAGCTCTACCAGTTAATTTCTAAGCACATTTCAAAGTGCTGGTTATTGCCTTTAAACACCTTTAGTGGCTAGGGCGGAATACCTGAAGGACTGCCTCCTCTCATATGAATTTATCTGCTTTTTCAGATGTATCCGAGTGGGTCCTCATGTTCTGATGGTGATATTGCCATGATTGGTTGTAGGAGAAGGCCATATATGTGCTGAACCCGTGGAACTCTGTGCCCCAGGGAATTCTGTTATTCCTCTCTTTCTGTCATTTCATGAAGGCATTTTTGTTCTGGAAGACATTAAGCTTGTAGGGTTGAATAATTTGAATAAGTCAGTTCCTGTGTTTTATCTGCTGCTCTTGATTATTGTTTTAATATTTTATACTTGTCAACTGATATGTTCATGGGTATTTTTACATTGTTGTAAACTGCTTGGAGCAGTAAAACTGTAATAGAAAGGTTGGGTATACATTTTCTAAAAATTAAAATAAAATAGGCCCTTGGTAGGCCTGGATTTTTAAAGTCTCAATTTACATGGGCTGTGGTAAATACATAGTGGAATAGTGCACAGGAGGCAGAATATCGAGTGCTATTTCTCCTTGTTGCTATTAAGTGTATCTAGGAACTCCTGAAATATTCTGTGTTTCAGTCTCTCTTAGTTAATGTATGTGCTTAAATTAATATAAAACAGAAATGTGGAAAACAGATGGGAATTATTTAGCAGCTAAGCAATGTGGAGCAGGATCCTAAAACAAAACTTTAATCACAGGAATCATATATTTTAAGTACTGCAACCTAACAGTTAGTGATGCTGGATGAGGAGAATAAAGAGAGATGTTAAACCATTGTCTTGAATTAAAATGTCTAGAGAAAATGGCCCAAACTGAAGGAGATAGTGTTGATGGAAGGAGGCCCCCAAGGTTCTACTGATTGCAAGAATTCCTGTGTTTCCTGAAAAGTTTATAGAGGAATTTAACTAATGTATCTTTTCCTTCGGTGGGTGGGTTGGTTTGTGCAGCTTGTTAGTAGTATTTTTGCCAATGCTGAATTGGAGGCTAGGGCTGAATCAGAAGAGGAAGAGACAGGGATGTCTTTAAAACATACTGCTTGATCAAAGTGGGAGCTACATTTCATAAAAAGATTTCTTGTGGGATAGAGGTTTAGGACCTATATATCGGTCCCTGCATAAGCACTTTCTGGATGGCGATTTGTACACGGTGCTTAACAGATTGTCAGAACTGTCATTGTTGATGGTTTTGATTAGTTGGATTGGAAGGACAGATTGATTCTTGGTTTCCACTCAGTACAAATAGATGTCTGGTGATGTCCAAAGCCAACAGCATTGCTGTTGTTGTTGTTGTTGTTAGTCGCAAAGTCATGTCCGACCCATCGCGACGCCATGGACAACATTCCTCCAGGCCCTCCTGTCCTCCACCATCTCCCGGAGTCCACCCAAGCTCACACCAACTGCTTCAGTGACTCCATCCAGCCACCTCATCCTCTGCCATCCCCTTCTTCTTTTGCCAACAGCATACATGCATTCCTTTCTGGACCACAGTAATTGTGAAGACAGAAAGGGCACCAGTAAAAGGATAAAAAGAGGAAAGATGGTGAAGATGCACTGCACATGATTTAATAGAGTCAACATTATCTCAGGGTTTTCAATTACTTTATTCAAAGAACTTTATACAATGTCAAACTAAATTTAAACAGGAGCTAATAAATAACTTTCTGTGCATCTTTGAAGCCTGATTTTTGTTCAACCAGTGATAATGGCATAAATTGAGGAATTCTTTTCATACTCCCATTAAACTTGATCATTTTACCCAAGCATGTTCATTTTCTAGCTTTTATGTGCTGCTGATATGGTTTGCCTTGCTGCACTCTCTTTTTTGTTGATCAATTTAAAAATCTTCCATGATAACGTGTAATTAATATGGAAGGATATCTCTACTGATTATGATAAAATTGTAGTTTATATTCCAATATTGTTTCCCACTTTTACCATGTTTAATATTTTAATTGGAAATCGTTAACTGTAAACAGGGCTGAAGATTTATAATACTTTGCATATATGGTATTTGGAGTTTAGTAGAAGTCCAGCATTTATTCTTCAAGTCTCCCAGTGAGATAATCAGAGGAACATTTAACGGGTAACCATAATAGCTTAAGAAACATTGGCCAGAGTTTGGGAGCAGTAAATTACATGATTACCAGCCACAAAAAAGCATGTCAATCTGGCTTGGTTAAATATTTTGTTTAACCCAGTTATACAACCATATACCTGCAATGCATCATTTTGTGCTGAGCTTCCTGTATATCATAAGGGAGTAAGGATATTCTTTGAATGGGATTATAATATTTGGACCAAATGCCATATGAAATGATAATTCTGAATTCTTTCTCATAATATTTTTTCTTAATGTATCCCTGCCCCCAGCTCCTGCCCCATGCAGTGAATTTTACATCAATACCAGCTACGGGATAGTGTCTATCAACACATCCATGGGTGGGAGAATAATTGAGAAGTGGAGAACTGATGTAGAATGCACAGCTCTATTGTTCAAGGGAGTTACTGCTCATGGGGATAGTTCAGGAAGAAGCCTGGGGGACTTCTTTGGTTGCTATTCAGTATCTCTTGCCTAAGGTTGTAGCCTCATTTTGCCTAGGTCATTCCTTGAGCTTTGCATGCTGCAAGTTTTCTCATCATGAAATTATTTCTAATTGTAGTTTGGACAGTACCTTTTACCTGAATCTGTTGCTAACTCTGTGTGTGCGACGTGTGCTTTTCTCAGTCAGAATAAACAGCCCATCTTTTATTTATGTTAAACATGTTAACTGTGCAAATTCTGGGAGCTTATTGGTACTTGGCCTGCCTGTTTGTTTTTAACTCATTTTCTTTTAATATATGTATCTAGAGAGGCACCTGAATATGTAGAAACTACAATCATTTTTGGGAAACCCAATTTCATTTCCAAACCATTAGGCAGTAAACCCCTAAGTCAGAGAAATTAAACCTGCTGAACTGTATATCTAATCACATACAGTCTTTGTATCATTACTTTTCAAACAATGTCATGAAAGTCTTTGGCTAAAAATATTAAAAAGATGGGAAAAGTCATATGCAACTACTGTAGCCTAAAGTGATATTTACTTAAAGCAATTGTCGGGGTATTAGCTTATCTTAAATCTAATATTTGTATAATTATTCCAGTGTAAAATATTTTGTGTTAATATTTTTTCTTGGGGTTTATTTATTTTTTAATCTGAACTGAGTGGGTAAGGGGTAAAATAAACCTCTATTTTTTCACTACTATGCCTATACTGAACAGAATACATAATAATGTAATAATAATTAAATTAATAAACAATTTTATCTATTAAATGGAGTAGTATCCTGCTACTTTGCTGTTAGTTAAGAATCATATGAATGGGCATGTTGAAATGGCACATATTTTGGACAGTTTACCTGTCCTGGTATTTCTCTCCTTCCCAGCAGAGTAGGACAAAAGTCTTTCTAATTAAAGACTTTATTGTGTTTAAACTGGCCAGTGAGGCTGGCTAGGTGATACAAAAGGGGAGTACTGCAGATGTGAATACAAAAAGAGATAATAGTGCCCATCAGGACAATATGGTTTAATGATAAGAACCTGATCCCAAACTGGATGTTTCTCCTCCTTTCCAATCCAAAAAGAGCTGACTCCACTTTCAAGATGTATCCTGCTGCTTATAGGCCAATTGCCTGGAACATCTAACATTACTCAGCTGGTCCACCCTCGTAACTCAACGCTGTATGACTGGACTAATTATGATAAGACTGATCCCTCCCATCTTTCTTTGCTCACTAGAACCTTCCAACCAAATTGAACCTGTCAGGTTCTCTGTGTCTGCCTGGCTATTCACAAAGTCCACTGGCCTTGGCATTTCAGCTGGGAATTCCTACCCTTCCCCCATTCCATATTGGAATTGGATTTTGTGTCAACAGCCTTTCAAGGATGTATTAGGGGAAGAGTGGGCTTAATTGCTACCCCTGTTGCCCAGGTTCTATTGGAGCTGCTGCCTTCATATGCCACAGGAGCAATGCATGACATTGAGGACAATGCAGAAGTGACAGTGCTAAGTGACATGATTAACACTGACATGGGGAATGAACCACAGCAGGGTCTATCACCGTAGCAGCATGGCCCTGGAGTCCTTCTAAGACCTGGCACTGAGCATTTTCCATGCTGCAAGCATGGCATGAGTATCAGGTAGAGGTTGGTTAGTGGATGGAAAAATGGAAACAACCGAACAATGGGAAAAGAATTTAATAAAAATGTCTCCCTTTTTCTATAGGTTTGACATGGGAAAAAACACTACGGCAGATTGGATTTGAAAGGTAAGTACTGTGCAATGGTTTTCCTGCTATATTTTATTTATTTATTTATTTAAAACATTTCTATGCCGCCCCATCGCAACAAAGCCTCGGGGCAGCTCACATAAGTACAGAAGAATAAAATAAATAAATACTAAAATTATACAATAAATAACACCCCCCTCCCAGTTCATTCTCGGCTAACAAAAAAAAAAACCTAGTTAATAAATAATTAACAGTTAAAATAAGTTTTAAATAAAAAGTTTTAAATAAAAATATATGCAAACTGAATCTTCAAACTGAGAGAGAATAAACATAAATGTTAGTGAATATTTGTCTTTGCAACTTAGATTTAGTTTCAACACTGTTAGTAATAATGGATATTTGAATTATATTCCTCTTTTCCTATCAGCTGATTAATTTAAATGTTCCCTAATGTTTTGGGACAACCCCAGTTTAGTGGATATATGAAACAAACATACAAACAAAAAGTTTCACTCTTATTCTTAGCTATTAAATGTACTAACCTAGGAACCTGTACCATTTCTAAATGACTTCAATGAATCTCTTAAGTATGAATGTTTAAGAAATGGCTAGAAGACTGATTCACACATTTCCTTCAAACACAATTTGTCAGTTTTATCCATTTGCCATTGATAGCTCCCACTGAAATGTGTATTCAATGACTGTGTTGGATATAATATAAGGTGATGACAACTCTGGCCATTAAACCTGTGGACTGTTTAGCCAAAGCTTGAATTTTGGGGAAGTATGAATCCGTTGATGTTTCAGAACTTATATTCCTCCAATTTTAAACAAATGTAGCCTTGTACAAACAGTACCTAACTCATTAACAATTGCTGCATTTGGACAGCAAGCAACATGATAGCTTAGTGTGATGTGACCAGGAAGTGGGGTTCAGAAGCTTTTATTTCTATGTTTAGTAAGTAGTGAGATAGCCAGGTTTGCTGAAGACACCAAACTTTTAGGCGCTTAAAACCAAAAGGGGTTAAGAGGAGCTCCAAAAGGGCTCACTTCAAGCTGCGAGACTGGACATCAACATGGCAAATGCAGTTCAGCATAAACAAATGTAGAATTATGCTCGTTGGGGCAAGAAATCCTAACTTCAAGTATACACTTATGGGATCTGAACTAGTAGTGAGTTGGCAAGAAAGGAATTTTGGGGCAGTGATATTACAATATAAAGGTCGGCTCAGTGTTCAACTGCTGTGAAGAAGGCCAACTCTACATTAGGAATAGAAGTAGAATAGAAAAAAAAATCATACTTCCCTTATACAAATCTGTGGTGCAACTGCTCTTGGAATATTGTGTTCAGTTCTGGTTGTTTTACCTGAAAAAGGACATTATTGAGTTGGAAAAAGTACATAGAAGGACAAACAAAATTGATCCGAGGGCTGAAGTAGTTCACCTATAAGGAACAGCTACAACTGAGACTGTTCATCTTAGAAAAAAGGAGAGTAAAGGGAGACCTGGTAGAGGTGTTTAAAATAATGGACAGTGTGGAGAAAGTAGAGAGGGAGACATTTTTATCCCTGTCCCATAACACACGAACTTGGGATCATCCCATGAAGCTGATTTGTGGGAGTTTTAGGACATATACAAGGAAGTACTTTTGAACACACCATATAGTTAAACTGGAATTCACTGCCACTGGAAGTGGTGATGGCCGCCAATCTGGATGGCTTTAAAAAGAGTTGGGACAGATTCATGAGGGAGGGGGCTATCAGTGGCTATGTGCTACCTCCTTTACCAGAGCTGACATGCCTGCATACCTCAGTTGCTGAGGACCTTGTGCAGGAGGAGGTGCTGCACCCCTGTTGCTTGAGTGGACAGCTGGTTTGCCACCAAGTACTGGACTAGCTCAACCTTTAGTCTGATCCAGCATGTCTTTTCTTAAGTTCTTATGCTTAGTTATTGATGCTTTTTCATGTTGTGTGGTATGTGCTTAACACTGTGGTTGATTTCAAACAAGCCAATTTCATACTGTGCTTTCAGAAGCTGGCTTACTGACACTAACTGTAGTTAGTGTTACCCCCCGTTTACTCTTAAGACATCACAAGAAGTCATGGTAAAGTACAAGCAGCAACAAAGTCTTCCAAACTCCTCCTTGCCTGTGTAGAAGGAGGAGAGGAGTCAGTACATGAGCCTTGGAGAAGGCTAAGCACATTCACATGCTGCTAAACCATGGTGTAGTGTTACATCTGAACGAAGCCATTAAGGGCTGGACCACTTCTAGACCTCTTTCTCTAATCTGAGCATTGTTTTTTTTCAAACATTTCATGTAGATTTTAGGTAACAGAGCTTGCTGAAGGATACTTTCCCATGTGTCCTTTCTGCTCTTACCTGTTATAACAGTCATCAGACGTTTATAATATGTGATATAAAGGGGCAAAAAAACCCTATAATGTATGTAAGACACAACTTATTGAGCACTGTTAAGTTTGCAACAATATCTTAAATTCTATTCAAAAGCTTCTAAAAAACTTGCATACATGAAGAGATATTAGTTTGATGTGAAGGCTGCAGTTTTGTATGTCAGATTTATGTTCTAACCCATACTAAGGAAAAACTTGAGTATTATGTACCGTAGAGGTTTCCTGATCATAACCTGAAAGGACAGTAAACATCCTTATCACTAAATACCTGCTAAACAGATCTTACAGAGGGAGTATGAGAAGGACTTGTCAAAGGCAAAGACGTTTAGAGAAAGTGAAAGCTTTGAGAATGTTTTGTATTCTGTTTTTATGTTACATTCAGAGTCATTCCCTTGTATTGGTTCATGACAAGCAGGCCTGGATTGTATTCCAAATACACCTAAAGTTCAATCATAATGTTGGATTAGAAGGAAATTATATTTTTCCAAATTATATGTACAGCTGAAACAAAAGATTTTGTTTTTGCAAGCGTTTAAAAAAGAGCTATCTCATGCATGCTTATTTAGAAGTCCCACTTTGTCCATGGGACTTGCTTCAAATAAAAATATTTAGGATTTTAACCTTAACAAATCCTTAAGTGCACTTTGAGTTCATTCATTAATATTATACCGTAAAGCTTGTTTTCTCTTCAATTCTTGTGTATATATGACTAAGTGGTTGGACCATATGACTGTACCACCTGGTGAACATTTATATATTTTTGTGCTTCGTGTAGATGACTCATCTGTTGTGTTTCTTACTTCTCATGAATGCTGTGTTTGTAAGTCTCATAAAAGTAGATGTGTTGGCGTCTCTCTTCAGACTCAATACAGATTCAAAATTTAGTATTTGATCCAGATATGCTACATGTTAGGAAAACTGAAACAGCATAAGCTCGATGAATGTGACAAAACATATGGCTCCATGGTATACCCTGTTGCTGAGAGTGATGAAATGAAACAGGAAATGGGTTGCATGCAAATAGAGGAAAACTTCTCGAGGATGCAGTGAATGCCTGCTATGTGCCTATAATCAAGTAGACTTAGGGGTAGTGAGAGTGGCGAAGAAGCAACATCTCACTGCTTCTGTTCAGTCTGCCCAGTGGAGCTTTTTAGGGATGCTACATGCTGGTGCTGTGAACAATGTAGACTCATTTGAGGCCCACTGTAACATACTTGCTAGGCATTTCTGACAAAATTTCCTGCATCTGCCAAGATCTAGACTCCAGCATTATAGCAGGTGAATCTGATGAATTTACCAGAGCACAGCCTGGTCTGGTTTTATTGGATGAGTTTCAGTTGGTACAGCTCGAGGATGTTGACAGGGTGCTTGGACAGGTTCGTGCAACCACTTTTATCCTGGATCCTCTTGGCTAATAAAAACCAGCAGAGGAAACAGTTGGATGAGCCAGGGGGGAGATTAACACCTCCTTGTGAGAGGGAGGGCTCCCATGCTGCCTAAAAGAGGTGCTGATGAGACCACTTCTCAGTAAGAGCAAAGAAGACCATTCCTGGATCTGGAAGATCCCAATAGCTTCGGGAAAATGGCAAAACTTCTCTTCCTGGGTTAGGCTCCTCAGTGGGTGGTTATAATCCAACTACAGACATTCTTGGATCAGACTGTTTATCTGGATCCATTTCAGCCAGGGTTCAAGGTGAATTTTAGCACAGAAACAATTTTGGTCATTCTGTATAATAACCCATGCCAGGAAAGAGACAGTTGATACTCCTGGATCACTCAGTATCACTTTCAGTGTAATCAACCATGGTATCCTTCTGGGTAAGCTAACTGAATTGGGTGTAGGCGGCACTCTGTTGCAGATGTATAATTGCTTTCTGCCGACCAGAAATTGTGGGTATGGGTTCAGTGCTCCTGTCTCTTCCTTTGAGGCTAAGGTAGCTGACCTAGGGAAATAGAGATAGGAAGAGGGGTTGATGGAAGAGACCTGTAGGGTTGCATGAGTGGCTCCAAGGGTGCCAGCATCTCCACTGCCATGGTGGTTAGAGATCTCAGGGAAGGAAGTTGAATCTTCCTTTAGAAGGGACCCATTCTTTGGCATATGAGTAACTATCTTCTCGTGCCAAAGAAATGTGTCTAGGAGCTACTGCCATTGGGAGATTTAGCCATTCAAGACATAGGAATCTATGGAAGTATATACTGCATGGCAACTTGGCTGCCTGAAATGAAGGTTACAGAAGTCCTGTGCTATCAAGATCACTTGGTGGATAGCCATTCTTCATGCATTTCACTGCTAATGATGTAGGATAACGTTGTGATGTCCTGGAAACAAGTTTAGTTTGTTAGGTAAAAGGTTGAATGTAAGCCTCTCTGTGTAGCTTTTCCTGAGGAATCACTTATTCCATTTGCAGACACAGCTTGATAATCTTAAATATCTCAATGTATGGATGAAATGATGGTATAGTAAGGAAGGGTTAGGTTTGTTAGGCACTGGGGAACATTTTGGGACAACCTGTGTCCGTATGAGATAGTTGTGCTTCACTTGAAGCACAAAGGAACTGGAGTGCTGATGTTTAACATGAAAAAGGTAGCATTGGCGTTTTCCTAGAAAAATTAATCAGGAATTGGGGA